CAGGCCCTGAATTACGGTATTCAGACTGTGAGAAGGCTCTATTGACCACTGTGTGGGCAGTGAAACATTTCTCCTGCTATATTGGTGGACAGAGGATTATTGTTGAGACACAACACCAGCCAGTAACGTTTCTGAACAGCCAACGCATCAGAGATGGTGTGGTGACAAACTCACGCGTTGCAACATGGCTTATGGCACTTCAAAGTTTTAACCTAGACATCCGCTACGGTCAAAATAAGAAGTCGCACTTGGGCACTGATTTGGCAATCTGCCAAGAATGTACACAGGATGTACCAGCCACCCAACAGCCGGTTGTGAGCAAACCCTCAGCTGCTGAGGACCCAAATCACCACTTCTTTGATAGCAATATCTGCAAAGATATGGCAACAATGTACGTGGATGGATGCTCATTCCACCACGAGACAATCTGCAAAGCAGGTGTTGGAGGAATTCTCCTCCAGGACCAAGAACAGGTCACATTTGGCTATAAATTAGGCTCTCAGTCTTCTCAGTACGCTGAGATAGCTGCAATCCTAATAGGCCTACAGATGGCAGTAGAACGCTCCATCCAGACGCTAGTCATCTGCACTGACTCTAACTATGCTCGACTCAGTTTCTTGTGTCATCTCGCTCTGTGGAAACAGAACGGTTTTCTCACAAGCAACAAAAAGGTGGTAAAACACAAAGAGCTTTTCATGACATGTGATCACTTGGTGACATCACATGATCTACAGATATTCTGGAAGAAAGTTCCAGGACACTCTAGAGTCCCAGGCGATGACAAGCACTACAATGACCTTGCAGACTCCCTAGCCAAAGAAGGAGCCGTTGACGGACCCACGTGGTCCTTCGACCCCTCCTGGCTACTCAACACTCAGTCGTCACAAGCTACAACTGAGGTAATGGCAGTCACACGTGCACAAGCTGCAGCTAAACCTGCTGATAACACAGTTTCTGTGCGCCCAATGCTGACTGACCCAGACATCATCCAACTTCAGAAGTTGGATCCTGCAATTAACTCGATGATGCTGTATCTGACTGACCCAGACAAATACACTCCATCGAAAGACGAGCTGGATTCCAATCCAGACCTCAAAGTCCTCTTTCAGCTGCGCAAACAGCTAAAACTACTCAAGGGCATCCTAACTTTCGCTCATGGACGGACGTCCTCACCTGTGTTCGTGGTCCCCCATGACCACAGGGGGGTGATGTTAGTCCATGCACATGACCTTCCGTCCGCAGGACATAAGGGTGACAATGCCACGCTGAAAGCATTAAAACAGATTGCTTATTGGCCTGGAATGAAAAAGGATGTCAAGGACTACATAAAAGGGTGCCTGATCTGTGGCCAGTTTCAACCATCCAGACCACTTCACAGAGCACCACTGCATAGTAGAGGCATTGCATTTCCATGGTCGGACCTCCAGATTGACTGGGTCGGACCACTCACTAAGACCTCTAGAGGAAATAAATATTTTCTCACGGTAACCTGCGCGTTTACCAAATGGGTAGAATGTCTACCAGCCCCTAATGACACAGCACAAACCACTGCTATGTTATTAATGAATCATGTATTTTCAAGGTTTGGACTTCCCCTTAGGGTGAACTCAGACCAAGGTACACACTTCACAGGTGAAGTAATGAAGGAACTGTGGAAGACGCTAGGCGTCAAAGCCAACTTCCATATTGGCTACTACCCACAGGCTTCAGGCCAGGTTGAGAGAGCAAATAGGACGGTGGTGAGTATTTTGAAAAAATACGTAGCCGCAAACCACAAGGACTGGGACGTGAAACTCCCTCTGGTCCTCATGGCCATAAGGGCCACTCCACACACGTCGACTGGCATCGCTCCTTTCGAGATGATGACGGGTCGACAAATGACTCTCCCTCTGCACCTGTTGTACCAACCAGGCGATGCTGCCATGGCAACAGCCTACACCACACAACAATACATGAAAGACTTGGAAAGACACCTTAAGAACACTTTTGCTTTCGCACAGAAAAACCTGGAAAAATCAGCTGAAGGACGCAAAGCGTACTACGACCAAAAGGCCTCTTACGAGGAACTCCAAGTGGGAGACAGGGTCTGGTACTACACGTTTGCACCCAAAACTGGGAGAGTAGAGTCCGGAACCGGAACTCTCGCCCGTAAGCTGATGCCCAGATGGACTGGACCCCATCTGATAGTCGACAAAGTGTCTCCAATTATCTACCAGATAAAAATCAGTAAAGGCCAAAAAGAGCCAACTGTTAAATGGGTACATCGTAACCAGATTAAACAACACAAGGCGTGCAATAACTCCTCAGGAGACAAAGATCTCACAAAATCTGACCTCGTGGGAACAAGGGTCATCCAAGCAGAAGATAACTAATGGATAATAAACTTAACCATAGTTTAAACTCACAGGACCTACCCTTGATAAAACGGGACAGCGTGACTGAAATCTGGCAACCAGGGTGAGGAGAAGCTGTGAAACGATGTTTCTAGATGCTTAGTCACTACTCTTGTCGGTGCTGAAACGTTGTTTAGTTGATTTTGGTATTGTTTCTGAGGTAAGAATGAATTTTGTTGTGTAGTAAGTTAGAGACTAAGAAGCCTTTGACCATGCCAACATGCAGTTCATTCATTAAATTGCAATCTTTGCGGAGTCAATGTATATTATTGCTACCTTGAGTACCATAATCTACATTGATCTCACAACGCTTAAGCCGAACCTACTCGAACAATTCTATTCGGGGGGATAGCTAATTCTTTTTGATAAGTCTCGCCATAGACTTCCAAAACATTTATGGGAAAACCAAACACCCAATCTCAAGTCGTTCGTCTAAAAGACAACAGACAATTGCACCAAACTATATTTTACCATGTAAAGCTAACTTAAACCAAGTTAGAAATGGAAAAATAGTTTGGAACACTTTTCTATAGGCATAAACCCCTGTAGTTACCCCTTTTCAGCATTCTCCACCCCTTAACTGGTAGTTGTAGCTGTTCCCAACCATAATAGCTTACACACCAGATGCATATAGTTTAAGGCCTTATGTAAAATCCCCTTCATAAGCCCACCTTAAACCACATAATTGCATGACACATTGAACCAGAACGGCACAGGCTGGACGTCGCTGGAGACAACCTTCGCTGGAGGCGACCTGCAATCCTGACGTTGGTCTCCACTCTTCATCCAGTGGCCGCTTCTTCAGTTCAATCCAAGGGTACCCCTCTGTATGCTGATTAATCAACACTTCCAATTGCTGTGGATTTACCGTTGTGGATTATATGACTTTTGCCAATGGATTACAGACTCTGTTTCCAAGGAGTTAAGGCATTGCTACAATGGAATAATCGAGACGATATGGGATTATAGTCAACACAATGGAATACCAAGAACATTGTGGAATTACCTTGACTTTGTTTCCTTGCTGGATTACTTCTGACTTTGGTCTTCCTCGCTGGATTACTTCTGACTTTGGTCTTCCTTGCTGGGTTACATCAAGCTCAAGGACACTTGAAGGTCTAAGTTCACGGTTGGAATTCATCCCCATGGACAGGTGATGATTTCCAAAGGGGGGACTGTAGTGAACCTGGTCTGACCCTTATCTGACCCTGATGACCTCAAATCTATCAGCTGGACAGAGACTGTTATTTTCATTGATCTGAATAAGTCTGAGCCATCTGATGACTTTCTTTCTTGAATTAATCAAGCAGAAAAGACAATCCTCTATAATCATTACTGTTTTACAAATGTTTGATAATCAAATTGTGTTAGTTCCATTCAATGCTTACAGGTTGAAAAAGAACTACTCATTTTATTTTACATAAACAGTAAGTAATGATTTTTATTCCTCATTCAAAGAAGAAATCAGGTTAATATGCATTTCTTGATTGTCTGTCTTCAATGAGCAAGCTGTCGTAAGTATGTGAAAGTTGAAGCTTCGGTCAACTAAATGTTTACTGAAAAAGGGATGTCATGTTTTACTATTTGGAAAGATACAACAGAGTGAGGCTCCAAAAAGTCTGCTTTTCTGCAATAATCTCTCTGTCAGTTGTTAAACAAATCTCATTCCCTGACCTCGACTTTTGATAATACCTTACGTCAAAAAACACACCTCTTTCTGGTACATCCACGAATCAGAAAGCTCTAAATTGAACCGGAAGTCGACCCATTTAAAATGTGGCAACCTCCCAGTTCATGTTAGAATTGGTTAGAATTCATGGGGAATTCATGGAGAATGGTGAAGTGAATGGAAGAGAATTCGAGAATTCAGGAGAGTCAGAGACGTTTGGAATTATAACTTCTGTTTGAACAACCCACGCACGACTATCTAAGGATTTCAGCAGCTCTCAACGGAGACGCTGAAAGGTCTGGAGGATTCTCTATCGAGCTGATCTATCATCACCAGGTAACGGTCTCTTCTTCGACTAAAGTGTACCGGAGGCGAGCTGAGATCTGATGAAGCGTGCACGTTCTGGTCAACAGATATTAATTCCCTCACATAGTTCTCTGTAAGAAAATCTCCATTTCATCTTAAACTCTTCTCTCTCTCACAAAACCAGTACAGATATTTTAGAAATATCTGAAGCAAAGTCCTCGTTCACCGCCGAGTGATCGATGCTCATTTTCTGTGAAACTTGTCTGTTATTATTTTCATATTTTGCCAAATTAATGTAAATGTTTGATGTTAAACTTTGATTCTGAAAATAAATGACTCCATTCATTTTGATGGGTCAAAGGTAAATAACGTCTCTCGTTACATTTCTGTTGAATTCAATACACGACATTACACAGTCAGAAAGATGAGGAACTCGTGAAAAGTATGCATAAATATATACCACATATATTTGTCATACAACTAGTGGCACGTACCAACGTGACTCACTACAGTTTCATGTTCTGACAGCCCACGTTGATTGAAAGTCTGCGTTTAGAACATTTCCACTTCTCATTCAGCGAGATGAACGATGGGTTTCGCTGCTGCTGTCAGCTGGAAGCAGCGTCACTCACCATGGCCAGAGGCACGATGCCCGCCAGGTCCTCTTGAGCCAGGCGGATCTCCGTCTCTGCCTCCGGTGTGGCGGCTCGACTGGCCAGGTACTCCACCTGCCAGCCCATCCAGCGGCTGCCTGTCGGCTCTGGGAAGCTTTCCATTTTCAGATCCACCTGGAGCACCCTCTGAACTCCCGCCTCAGATCTGTGTTGTAGACGAAAAATGAGAGAAGGTAAAACTGATGACCAGAACTGTACGCGCCTCTGTCAGACCTGTCTGAACTCATTATTTCCCGCTGCCGGAGGCAAAAGGTATGGTTGTGTGTGTACATATGATTGTTTACTTGTTGTGTTAGTAAAATATATAATAAACCAGTTAACAGATTAAATAAAAACTCTCAAAGAGTAACCAATGGGTAAACATCGACAAGATGTTAATATTATGTCAATTCTATTCAAAATAGCTTCCAGAGCTAAAATTAAAATGGCAACTGCTTTAGTTATTTTACTGGATATTGAGCTGAAATTTCATGTGGTAGTAGCTGAGAATCACACCAAAGTTTATTATCAAATATAACTGATCACAAAAAGCTTGTTCTTAAACTTTGACCTAATCAATTGGAGTGAACCTTTTCTGTCTGTTAGCAAAATATTTCCTAAACCACTGGATGGATTTCAATGAAACTCTCAGAAAGTAACCATTCAGAGTACATCTACAGCTGATTACCTTTTGCCGTCTACTGAATTCAAGATGGCCGCTTCAGCTAAGTGATCCTAGAAAACACAAAAATGTCTCTAGCTTAGCTAATGTTACAGATATTCAGCTAAAATTAGGTGTGGTAGCAGCTGAAACAAACAAACAAAAAAAAAAAAAAAAATACAAACCCAAAGCACGGTATATTGCACAACATTTTTGTCTAAAATCTTTGCATTACCTTTTTGCATTAACCATGTTTGTCTGTTAGCAAAATGTCTCACAAACCATGAAGCAAATGTTAATGAAACTTTCAAAAATTAAGCATTGGTGATTCATCTGTAACTGATTAACTTTGGGATTCTTCCCACTTCAACATTGTTGCCACAGCTGATAGACAATATCAAACACAAAATCGGCTATAGCTCAGTCAAACTTGCAGCTGTTGAGCTATAAATTAATGTGGTAGTAGCTGAAGGTCTTCCTCAATGAATACTCTGAGTGGTAATGCAACTCACAAATGTGCATGATGTTTCTCATCATAAGATGTTCTCTGGCGTAAAAGTTTGTGGAGAATATGCATGTTAAAAAAAAAAAGCTGGCTCTTTAATTTAAGTTTCTCATGTCTGAAGAGAAATTAAAAAGGTTGATGAATGTGTGTTGGGTTCAAATCTAGAGCAGATTTGTCCACCAACGAGGTATTTCAAAATGTCAAGTTCCCCACCTCTCCCAAAATTCTCTTGCTGTATTCTTACATTTCCCTGTTTGAGCTCTGTAAGCAGAGCCCTTATTCTCTCAGAGCAAATTAAAGGAGCATTTCACCACACGTCACCCTTACTAACGCGTTGACAGTTGGGTTTGTCGCCGCTGCCCTTGTTTGCTCTGGAGAACTGTAAATACACGGCATGCTTCGGCACAATCCACCGCAGACCTGAATTAAGTCAGACAAACGAGGAGCGTCGTTAATAAAATTTCCCACGGCGCCATAAGTCTCCGGTGCTCGCAGTTTAAATATAGGCCCGAGGCAGGAAAGGTCAGCGTTCCACAGGAGCCCGAGGAGATGGGAAATGGCACGAGATCCGTTAGCCACATCCCGTGTGTCAAATTGCAGGACTCCTGGCCAATATATTTCACGCACACGCTCTCTGTGGTGCAAAGCATCATCGTGTAATTTGGTGAAGGGGGGCAGACAGCGAGGAGGAGGGATGAATAAATCCACATGGCACTTTTTTGGAGAGAAGAGCCTCCGTGCACAGCAGATGCACAAAAATCACAGAAGTACTGGGCAGAAAAACAGCTTCTAAAGACAGATTTTGTTCAGATTAAAAGTCCAGCTTTTCTTCAAAGACTGCATATCACCCGCCACCCTTTCTAACAGTCTTCTCACCTCATGATGAGAAACCATGAGAAAGATTGTTCAGTCTTAATTGGAGCTGAGATCATCTCTCTCCAGTTTTAGCTTCTCTCCTTTGGCTCCCTGTTAATTCCAGAACTGAATTCAAAATCTTACTTCTAACCTACAAAGCCCTCAACAACCTAGCTCCATCTTATATTACAGATCTTATTGTTCCATATTTTCCTAACAGAGCATTTTGGCCTCAGACTGCAGGTTTACTTGCAGTTCCTAAAGTTTCTAAAAGCAGAATGGAAGGAAGACCTTTCAGTTATCAGGCTCCTCTCTTAGCTATGTTTACATGCACAATTTTTTTTTGACGGGATTGAAATGTTTTCAGATTAAATAATTTGAATGTATCGTTTACATGGGCACAATCCGTTCATGACGAGCGTTTACATGCAGAGGGCTTTTATTCTGAAAAGAAGTACTGACATGTGCAGAGTAGTAAACTCACCTTAAAAAAAAAAACAGAAGAAGAAGTTCTACTTCCGTTCTACTTCCGGGATGAATGTAAACAAACCTGAGCGCCCAAAATGGACCCGCGCCAGGTTTTAATGACGGTGGAGACGTTACTGCGCTCCCTGACTGAGCTACAGCTGATACAGATAATTGTGAGCTCTTTCAAAGTTTCTAGTAGAAATGTTGTGTCGCTCACCGACCAGTTTTACTTCCCCGACGTGCTAATATTGTTAGCAATAGCCAGGTGGAAATATGTGAGGTAGACATACAGTAGGTCGCACATGCACACTCAAGTCAGTTTTTCACAATCGCAAAAAGGTTAATTGATTAAGTGTTTACATGCACACCGTTCAGATTATGAATCTTTATAAACCACCTGTCTCATTCTGATAAGAATTCTTTCAGATCGAGCAAAGAATAATCCGAATGGGGCATTTACATGATGAATGGCTGTTTAATACAATTACTTATGTCCATGTAAACATAGTGGTTCCTAGAGTTTCCAAAAGCAGAATGGGAGGAAGATCCTTCAGTTATCAGGTTCCTCTCATGTGAAACCAACTTCCAGTTTCTGTCCGTGAGGCTGACACATTGTCCAGTTTTAAGACTGGGCTTAAGACTTTCCTTTTTGATAAATCCTATAGAGTTGGTTTGTAATGCTGTTATAGGCTTAGACTAATGGAGGACAAATTGACCACATTTCTTAAAATCCGTCCATTATCTTTTACCAGCTTCTCCCATTTTGGGTCATGGGGGTCACCGGTGCCCATGTCCAGCTGTCACTGTGCGAGGGGTGGCGGACATCCTGGACAGGTTTCCAGTCCATCACAGGGACACATAGAGACAAACGAGACAAACAACCATTCACTTTCTCACTCACTCCTAGGGACAATTTAGAGTTACCAATCAAACTAACATGCATGTTTTTGGTCTGTGGGAGGAAACCGGAGTACCCAGAGAAAACCCACGCATGCACGGAGAGAACATGCAAACTCCGTCCAGAGAGGCCCCCCGACCGGGATTTGAACCAGGGACCTGCTCACTGAGAGACAGCAGCTCTACCAGTTGCACCACTGTGCTGCCTGCCTTAAAATGAATTGTTAAAATTTAATAGTTTTCATTTGATACTATTTCTATCTTAACATGTGATTCTTGACCTGCCATTGTGTATCTATTCCTCTCAAACCCAGCCGGTCGAAGCAGATAGTCGCTTGTCCTGAACCTGGTTCTGTTAAAGGTTTCTTCCTCATGAGGGAGTTTTTCCTTTCCACTGTCGCCTTCATGCTTGCTCAAGATGAGAGTTTGCGATGGAGTTAAATTCAAAGCAGTCTGCTCCTCAGATATCCATCCATCCATTATCTTTACCCGCTTATTCCATTTTTGGGTCACGGGGGTCGCTGGTGCCCATGTCCAGCAATCACTGTGCGAGGGGCGGGGTACACCCTGGACGGGTCGCAAGTCCATCACAGGGCCACATAGAGACAAACGAGACAAACAACCATTCACTCTCTCACTCACACCTAGGGACAATTTAGAGTTGCCAATCAGCCTAACATGCATGTTTTTGGTCTGTGGGAGGAAACCAGAGCACCCGGAGAAAACCCACGCATGCACGGAGAGAACATGCAAACTCCATCCAGAAAGGCCCCTGGACCGGGGTTTGAACCAAGGACCTTCTCGCTGAGAGGCAGCAGCTCTACCAGTTGCGCCACCGTGCTGCCCGCTCCTCAGATAAATAATGTTAAATTATTATTTTTATATATGAATATTTCTGTTCAGTGTCCTGAGACGACTTCTGTTGTGACTTGGTGCTTTATAAATAAACTGAACTGAAAGACAAATTTAGTCAAATCTCAAAAATGATGTCTGAGCAATCGGATGCAACCTTGTAAGATCTCGTGAGTTGTGTTAGTGCTCAGAGTATGTCATGGAGATGACCATCAGCTACTATAAGTTTAGCTCAATATCTGTAGAGTTCACTGAGTTTAGCCATTTTTGTGTCAGCTGAGTAGCTGTGGCGGCCATCATGACTCTAACTGACTTAAACACACAAGAGTTATCAACGGCAGTGAATGCTTTCTGAACGTTTCACTAAAATATGTATATTCAAGAGATGTTTTACTGACAGAAGGTTGAGTAGCAGTTAAATCTTCAGGTAAAGACGGGACATGTGCGTTATGTCTTAGGAATGACATGATCCAGATTAAATTTTAGCTCAATTCCTAATAAACTGAAAAAGGTATAGCCATTTTTGTGTTGGCCTAAAATTGTTTAGCTGTGGTGGCCATCTTGGATGGGACTGACTTCAAAAGTTAATTTGTTGTAGAGGTTCATGCAATTTGAGTTTCATTCAAATTAATGTACTGGTTCATAAGACGCACACACCCTTAGACACAGGCAAAAGCATTTTTGCTCTGCCTTCGTCTTCATTGGCAGGTGATAAAGAAATCAGCGCATAAAGTGAGATAACACAGTGTTGGGACAACTCATGCAGCCATGTCCTAAATTATAAACAAAAAAATACCTCTTTAAAACAGTGAAACAATGAATAATAGAAACAACTCATCTGCTGCTTTCACATTCACACAGAACGCTGCTTCATTCTCATGAAACTCACTTTGACACTGAGAGAATAAAGGATTTGTTGCACAGCAGA